GTCACAGGACTAGTAACAGTGATTGCAGGGTTGCCCTGGATTGCAGGGTAGCCTAATTGAAAGGCCTTGGGGAGGCGTGCTGGGGAGTCCCATGATGCTCTGGTTCAGGACTACCACCAAAGAGGATTCGCAAAGGGATAGAACTACGACTGACTGGTGAGCAGGATGGTTCTCCTCTTCTCCCTGCTTTATGCACCATTGGATTGGGACTAGTAACAGTGATTGCAGGGTTGCCCTGGATTGCAGGGTAGCCTAATTGAAAGGCCTTGGGGAGGCGTGCTGGGGAGTCCCATGATGCTCTGGTTCAGGACTACCACCAAAGAGGATTCGCAAAGGGATAGAACTACGACTGACTGGTGAGCAGGATGGTTCTCCTCTTCTCCCTGCTTTATGCACCATTGGATTGTCTCCTTGCTGCATGGGGGTGAACTGCAGGAACTCGCCTGCTTGCTGCCACTAGAGTGGACAGCACAGAGGCTGTGGTGACAGCGTCCTTATAAAGCCTTTCTGGCGGGAAAAGTCTGAGGTAAATTGAATCTTTGGCGGGAAAGAACCAGTTTAGTCCAGTTCCTCAGTGGTCAGTCCTGAGGAAAAGCCTGCCAAAACTGACAATGCCAAAGGTCACAGACTCCATTTTGATTATCAAGGACTCCATTTTGAATTACCCTAACCACTAGGTTAAACATCATAACACCTGATTTAACTAACAATCCTCCCACAAAAACATCCCAGCAGTGAGCACAGAGATCATCCCCGACTTGTATTCTTTGTGCAGGGGCCCAGTTCCCAGACTTGTAAGGATCTGTTAGCACCCAATGTTTCACTAACATTATAAAAGCAAGCTGGCATTCTTGAACTGAAGCACTAATTTCCAAGACTTTGTCCCAGCTGCATGGCTAATGAGTGGCAGAATGGATCCATAAGTAGGTCACCACGTACATTGCAGGGTTGGATGGTACAGGAAATTGGCCAAAGAGCGTTTCATCTCTAGAAGCTGAAGTTCA